CTGAGTAGTAATACAAGAAAATACCCTGTAACCTGTATTTGTTACCCAGTCGAAAAGCCAAAGCATTTGTCAAGGATACCCTGTATTTCACATATAATGTCAGTCATCCCTCGGCGTCCCTCAGAATAAGAATAATACATATTTGGTATTTTTTGCAAGCACAGTGTATATTCGTATATAGAAACTATCTCTCTGTACAACTTACAGTATTTTTGAAACTTGTACAGGGTATATTAAATAACAAGAAACTACTCGAAATGGAAGCTAAGCAAACTGATTGCACAGCCCACTGCAACGGACACTAATGCAAATGGAAAACGAGACTTGGAAAAGTAAAGAAAAGGAGAGGCGAAACTCTCTTTGAGCACATTTTCAATTTATTCGACTGTGAAAACAAACGAATTGACCTGCCTCAAGTGGCAAAGGTGGCAAGAGTGTGTGGCCACTGTGTGGCTGCAATGTCACATTGAGGTCGAGTTATATGAGTTCCGGTTCTGCAGTTGCAACACCAGCTGACCGCAAGTTGTGGCTTACTGAAGGCATTTGCCACGCCCACACGAATTCCATATGGCAATCAGCATGTGGCCAAAGCTAAACCCAAGTGCCAAAATACCAAAAGCCATTTACAGCTAACCACAGGGAGGAGCAAGAGCGGGAGAGGCGTAGAGCTCTTGCCACATATTGCATAATTGCATCAATAACTAATGCCACAAAGTTGCAACTAATTAATGCAACACTCTGTGGCAACATTAAGAACTTTGCTGACTAAAGGCAAACTTTTGGCCTGATAACGTGCGAAGGCATAAAACTAAAGTATTCCCCTCGTCTTGCAAAACTTTGCGACTAACAGCAAAAATTTGTCAAAGATTTTACAGGGGGCCAGAAAAGAAGAAGAAGAAGTTAAAAGTGTGAAACGTTCAAGTATATGGTTTAATAGTGGGTTATTTATTAATAAAAATTAAAACTAAAATTTAAAGTAAATTGAATAATTAAAATTGTTTACTAATTATTTTTATTTAACAATGCATATATGAAATTTTGTAATTTTATTATTATCTATTATTTAATGACGAAGTTACCTCTAAAGAAAACTACTTAAATTCTGCTTAAATAGCTCGCTTAATAACTTGTGTTGTTCCTTGATAAAATGAATGGACAATTTAGCAACTTTCTTAGCAGCAACTACTTGGGCAGCTAAGAAACTTAGTTTTATGGCATTTTGGTTAGCCATTGTTTGTCAACTTTGTAAGTGTGCGTGTGTCTGTGTGTCTATGTGTGTGTTCTCGTCATTAGATAATGGACTCGCGCTTTCACACATACATGACCTTTGACATTTTGTTAATTAACGATACGCTGACAGTTTATGGACGCCAAACAAAGCTAAACAATTAGTTTGCCAACGAACTGATTAGAGCAGACAACAGACAATAGGCGGGTGAGGGGGCGGCAGGGGCTGCCCTTAATGCTATCTGACTGACGAGCGAATAATGTATGGAGCGTGCAACGTGTTGCAGCTAAGCCAAAACGAGGGCAACTCACCTGCTCGGTTGAACGTGCAAATATGCAGCACAAACATTCAAATAGTCGTCAGACTGACACACACACGCACACACAGACTGTGCGTGTGTGCGTGTGCTGTCATATTTGCCATACGCTCGAGTGGCGCTGAAAAGGCTTATAATTTCCGCTTGTTGTTCGCCTGGGTCGCCATGGCAGGAAGTCTCAATGGGATGTATATGAGGCATGCCTCTCATTGTGTAATTGTATGGGTATCAGGTTGTGTGTGTGTGTGTATGTGTCAACGTCAATGTAAATGTGCCACCTGCAGGACCACCCATGCTCAGCATTGGCTGAGGTCAAGTGCCTGCTCAATGGAGAAGCCCAAATGCAAATGTTGGCTTTAAAGCGCCGCTTGGCAACAGTCGAACAAGTCGAACTTGCGGCCCCCAAAAAAAATAGAACGTTGAGTGGCAGTACAAGAAAAAATGAAGAAAGTACAGAAAATACAGAAAATAGCTGCCTACTGAGGATTAAATACCCTTACGAAAACACTTGTTCATATACATACGTAGACGGCACGCAAACAGGCTTAAGCAAATAAATAATAAATGTATAAGAGTTTATATACAAGAGGACACTTACCTCTCTCTCTCTCTCTCATCCAGCTCCCTTCGCTCGTGAGTGAACTTTCGCGCTTATCCCAAGTGGATCATATTCAATTGCGCGCCAATTCTTGAGTGAAAAAGAGATAGCTGCGCCACAGAGAACGAGACTTGTTTTATCATTTTATTATTGACTGTGCACTCAAGTGCGAAGAACACCGAGTAGATAAATAAAATTCGTTTTACAAGCATACACAACGCGAACTTGTTGCTATTTCATAGCATTTACTTTGAATACAAAAAAAAAAAACACCCACTCACGCACAAAAGACAACAAATATGCAGGACAGCTGCAGAGAGACTAAATTGGGAAATTACACCCGAGGCTGTGCTAAGTGAGCAGTCACACACTAATACATACATAGCGAAGCAGAGTACGCAACTTGAATAGCTCCTGCGCGCTCACAAGACTGCTTGAGCAAATGAGTACTTATAGTTGCTGATAACGGGATCAAAAGCATGGCGACTAATGGCGTGTCTGGAGGGCCAACTCATTCTCTCTCTCTGTGTATCTGTTGCTCTCTCTGCCAGTCTCGACCAGCAGCAACAGCGAAGCCCCGATCAAAAATTGTTGCTCGTCTTCATTTGAGCGTTACACACTTCGTGACAAATTGAAAAAGCTCTTATACTTATGGCATTGGAAGTGTATGTTAAGCAAAAACCAAGCAGCGGGCGGTGTTCGCAACGCTTGACATTGAACGCGCCCCTACCACGCCCACCTTCAGGGGTTCGTCCAGGGTTGTCAGTGTTTGCCGCCTTATCTGGCAAGGACAACACGCACCAAGAGTAGCAGCAGCCGCGGCAACAGTCGCAGCATCCAACGCCACAGGCGCAAACCCCCATTTCCATAGAATCCCGACAAGCGGATTTGCTAGAGAAACAAAATGCAGACTTTGGCTTTGACTGCGCCAGTTGCCAAAGTGCTGAACAAACATAGTAGTTTCTTTTGCCTTCATTTTTACACGCTGTACGCGCTGAGTACGTCATGAAGTAGGGTATGCTGCCGTTGTTCAAGTATGTGTGTAGAAGAGTATGTAGCCATGAGTAGAAAGTATAGAATAATATAAGAGGTAATGAATTTGAATAACTGTGTGTGTGTAGAAGGAGTGCGAAATGGAGGCATAAATGATAATTATTGTATAAGAGCTATAGAGTATAATTGTTGCATTGAGTGTAAAACATATAAGAGCTTAATTACTGACAAGGGTATTAGGAGAAAACCTAGGAAATATAAGAGCTGAAGGATTTATTTACATTCTCATGATTAATTTAATCCAAAGAGAGGTGCTATGAAATTAAGAATATTTCTTTCTAAGTAGCTTTTGATATTATCTGCTGTAAATGTATATTATCTATTTCCAGGGTATCTGGCATTTACACACATAAGCAGCTGCAGGTTCTTTTCTTATTTTTTTTGGTATTACAACAAAGTGCTCTGTTTCGCATATGTAAACACGCCAGGAAATGAATACCCCGCCTTGCTTGCAAGTTAACCTATTCCCTCCATTCCCGCCCACTCCTTCCTTATGTTTATGGGTGCCTTGCTTGCCCTTTTATCGGAAGCCCCCTCAGCTGTTTATACTCTATATGTCTAGTGGGCATTACTATATACTATACGCAAGAGCATTCCTTCCCAGTTGAGGCGTCTGCTCTTTCAATTTGCTTGCATTATTGTCGAGCTCGCGGCCAGGCTCAACTATGTATTCTTTTAATATGCGCCCAATGCCACGCCCCCCTGTGCTTCCGGCCGCCTCAAGGCGAAGGCAATCTCTCTCGCAAGTTATTCAAATTTAATTTATGCAAATTGTTGCGCCGGCAACCAGAATTCCCGGAAAACGGCGAACGAACCGATTATGCAATTGCAGAAATAGCTAAATTGCGAAATAGAGAGCATAATAATAGGATCACAGCTGCACTAGCATAATATTTATGTCAATTGGCAAATAATGACAGATTTCTTATTGGATATTTGAATACGACAATTGAAAGAGCTTTGAGAATTCTAGAAGCTAGTTGGAGTGGAATATAAGCAATGGGAACTCTAATAGCTATTTCATTAAAGATTCTACAACCGTATTTTGTATTTGTAAAACTCATTGAATGATATATTTAAGCCTTAAACCTAAAATAAATATGAATAAAAGTGGGAAACGAATAAATTTACGAACTTTAAGCGATTGGCAGAATAAATTATATATATACATATATACTATGAACAAAATTTCAATTGATATTGTCCTCAATTTTAATGGACTTTACGTGCAATGTCAAAAGCTATTTTTCAACGTACGCTAAAACCGATTTATGTGACAAACAAAATTGCACATAAACAAAAACAAAAAATGCTAAATACATGTGGGATTGACTAGAAAATACCCTGCAAGAATATAAAAGGGCCAATGGAAACTCTTGTTGAAGATCTCTTGCTAAATATACCTCTATTAGATTCCTAGGCATCATAATCTATTCGCACAAAACGAAACAGCATCCAAAAAACAATTCTGTTTAACTCATTTAAAGAAATCTCTTTAGCTATTATTAGCTCTCGCATATGCCCTAGAAAACCTCTATATGCTAAAGTTTTACCCACCATCAATCCTGATTCAGTTGGCAATGTTTAGTGAACATAAACCATACTTTTGCGCACTATTGACAGTTGCTGCATTTTACAGGGTATAGGGTACATTTTGCAAACAACCGAAAAACTGACGAAAAATGCATGAGGCAAGTTTTTGCCACAGCAGCTGGTCAGACAACTATTGGCGCATTTCGTTTCCCCTCCGCTTTTTTCTCGATGTTGTTTGCCATGAAATTGCGGCGCAGAACTTTGACGAAAACAAAAATTCCGCAGCAGCAGCAGCAAGTGCAGCAGCAGCGGCGGCAGCGGCAGCATCAGCAACTGCTGCAACTGCCAGGCAGGACATATAAATCAATTTTACAGGACTAACGCAAACATAAATAACACGAGACGCTATGAAAGTGAAGCAAATGGAAACGGATGCTCTTTGTTTTGAAACAATAAAATAAACAAATAAAGAGCTACAACCGACTGCACAATGCTCGCCTGGGGTTTCAAATAAGCAGAAATTAGTTATGAGATATTATTATATGATTGAATATGGAAGATGGCAGATGAAAAATTTAAGAAAATAGTATGAAAAAGGAAGAAAAATTGAAAATGGATGAAAAAAAAGGATAGGAGATGCCAGATTGGAGATGGAAGATTTAGAATATGCTAAGAAGATAGAGAGCATATATGTTGTATAGATACAAGATTGAAGAAGAATTGATATTAAATATCCCACAATTCACATTTCTTCTCAATTCTCTAGCTGGGCGTTGCGATTGGCTTTGTGCTGCCTCCGATGCTGGTGCCAAACTCGGAGGACATCAACCAGGTGGGCTCCGATTTGCAGTTGATGTTCTACCTAGTGGCCGGGCTAACTAGCGTACTGCTCATCCTCATGGCCATATGTAAGTAGAGTCGAAATATAGCCCATCTCTTAACGCCAATTGATTTCCTCTTGCAGTCTTTCAGGATAAGCCGCCAACGCCGCCATCGGCCGCACAGGAGGCGGCGAATCGTCTGGAAGGCATGGCCGAGCAGCAGATCAGCTTCGGTCAATCGCTGAAAAATCTGTTGACCAATCGGAATTTCATATTTCTGCTGCTCTCCTACGGCATCAATGTGGGCGTCTTTTACGCCATCTCAACGCTGCTCAATCCGGTACAATAGCACCTGCTTACCAAGTGATGCATAATTGATTTGCGGTTTATTCTGCAGGTGGTGCTCAAGTATTATCCAGGTCACGAGGTCGATACGGGTCGCATTGGCCTCAGCATTGTGCTGGCTGGCATGCTGGGTTCCGTCGTCTCTGGCATTGTGCTGGACAAGACGCACAAGTTCAAGTAAGTAAAATTAATTTGATTGTGTACGCATACACAGCCTGCTGCAGGCAGAGTGTAAATAACTCACCCGAAAGGAAAGAAATACGCCGGCAGAAATGTAAATTTCCCTTTGAGAATTGAGTAGGTTTCAATTTAAAGTAGTCAAGAGTGGAGTGTGAAGTGTGAAACCAATTAAAATGAAGGCACGTCAGCTTGAGTGCATATATGCACTCTAGAGAGTGAGTAATTCAGAGTGAGCAAAAGGGCTAGACACTTCCATAAGTAAAAGGGAAAAGCACTAGCTCTCTAACTAAATGAAAGAACTGTAACGAACAATATGCAAATTTCCCTTTGAGCACATTTCATTTGAACTGAGAGAATAATTGCGAGTATGCAAAAAAGTTTTCAATGTTTACCCAATTGGGAATGAGCGGCAAAGTAAAAGGGAAATATATATGATCGAGATTGAGTAAATGTCCGTTTGAGTGTAGTTAAGAGAGCGCAATGGAGAGCAAGCAAAAGTAGTTAAGCCTTGCTCACTAGAAGCTGAAGAAATGAGACAGAAAATGTGTAAAGCACTCAACTGAGTGTATATAACAGTTCAAGGGGAACAAATTGAAAGTAAGCAAATGCTCTTCGCGGAAAAAGCTTTTTTATGCCAAATCTATGCATTAGTACGATGATTTAAGAAAGAGTACATTACTGAGCTACTGTTCCTGCTTGCAGGGAGACTACGCTGGCCGTGTATGCTCTCTCCATGGTCGGCATGTGGATTTTCACATTCACTCTCGATACGGGACACATTGCAGTGGTCTATTTGACAGCCTCGCTGCTGGGGTAAGTTGTTGGCAATTCAAACTTTAATTAACTTATGTCTGATGGTTGATTGATCAGCTTTTTTATGACTGGCTACCTGCCCGTGGGCTTTGAATTTGGCGCTGAGCTAACGTTTCCCGAGCCGGAGGGAACATCATCGGGCCTGCTAAATGCCTCAGCTCAAACCTTTGGCATATTTTTTACGCTCTTCTACTCGGAGCTCTTCTACTCGTACGGTGATGTGCCAGCCAATGTAGCCATGGCTGTTATGCTAATTGTTGGCACTCTTATAACGGCGGCCACCAAATCCGATTTGCGGCGACAGAATGCTCAAGTGGTGTTGCCCACAGGCGGTACAGCAGCAACTAATCCGTAAACTAAAACACACAGCACACATACACACATACACATATACACCTATACACCCATACATCTTTACATTCGAGTCGCTCTTTAAGCATTTGTTTTATAGTATTTTAATTTGTTGTTAACTTATGTCTTTTTGTTGTAGCTTTAAGTATATCAAAGTGTTGAATTGTTTATTAAAATATCAAACACACACTTACACATATATATAGTTATCTAGGCATTTATTTTTTTAATTTTATATATTGGCCAAACGAAATTGTTTTTTAGCATTCTAGAAAGTAAGTTAAAATTTGAAAAGACTTGAAAATAATTGAGAAAAATTAAAAGCAGCTTTAAATTTCCACTTTTTTGCGACAACAAAAACCACAAGAAATTTAAAACAATTGTTAACAAAAGATATACATATATGTAGAGAGAATTGTTTAAGCCCCTATGTAGCAGGCATTATCCAGAAATCCTACAATATTATATAGCCAATCAAATACATCTATATATATATATATATATATATATATCTGTTAATATAGCCAAATCTTTATTAGCTGGTTTTAAGTCTAGTTGAATCGGCTCAGTATAATTGTCTAAAGGCTTTACAGTTACATACAGTCAAACTTGCCTATATTTAGCCAGAGTTGGCAAATAATGGCAGTTCCTTAGAACAAATGCACTCAATAAATATCTATATATTCTATATACTATAGAGAGTTCAAAATACCCTATAATACCAATGTTATGCAAAAGATTGGAATCTGAAAGTGGTTTGGCTTTAGAAGTAAGGATAGTAGGATGTGAATCTGATAAAGGGAGGATGAGGAATTAGAATAATGTAACAGAAAAGAAAATTTAGAAGAAAGAAATTTTACAGTTATAAAACAGTCTTAGAATCAAAAAGTAGGTAACGTTTGTTATAGCGAAAAGCGACTGTGGTAAGCATAAGAGTTTAAAAGTTATCAGCAGAACAAGCAAAAGAGTTTAGAAACAGTTTGAAACACTTTAAAGTTATATGCAAAAAGATCTTAGCGCGAAGTTCAATTTCAGTTGCTGGACTTAAGAATTATTTTGGTATCTTGACCAACCTTTAAGTAAATCATATTGAAACCCGAAAAAACACACATTCCTGACAAAAACAACGCATGCTAGAGAAGAGTGACTATAGTACAAAAGCTATAGATTATCAGTCAGTTAAAGAGGGGAAAACAGTTGGACGCTTTAAGCAGAGGACAATTTTTTAGACAATTCTTAATATCACAATTAATAATAGACAAACAGGCAACTAAAACCATAATACCAGAATAATAGCACTTTGTGTATATATTTCTAGAAACTTCAATTAGTAGAGTAATTCGAAAGAACAAATCCATAGAACCTCGAAATATCTCAATCTCAAATTTCCAAAACTTTCGCTTTATGTACATAATTCTAAAGAAATTTCTGAACTAACCAACTGTAGGCTTAAACCCTTAACTGTTCCATGATGTACATGTATATATACGCACATACACACACAGACATACACACGCAGCCATATAGAGCAATTGAACACTAACAATCATATCTAAAATGTGTTAACGTTAATTTTGAAGTATTTTACACTTTGAAAAGGGAAATCTAAATGATATACACAAGATCTATTACTATATATACATACATATATATATATATACATATATAAATATACGTCTATAATGCGTATAATTGTTGTGACATAGTTGAATTAACTAAAACAAACATTTAACAAAATTAGCACACTTTTAAAGCAATTTTGTAGATAGCTTTTAGGCTAATTGCCAGTACTATATATATGTATATAGTATATATATACATATAGTATATATATCTAATTGTATTAGTTCACTCAACTAGTGTCAATTGTCAAACACCAGAGACAACTACCTGACAACCTAAACAAAAGCTGTTACTACTTATATACAACCAACAACAACAACCACCTATTAAACAAATATATGACACATATATACACATACACACACACACACACACACACATACACACATAGTCGAAAAGTTATTACATTTCAAATGAAAATATATATAAAAATATATATGTATATGTGTATAGTTGGAAAAAGTATTCAATAAAACCAAAAAACTTAATCGAACAAAAATAAATTCTTAGTCGTGTTTTACATACATAGATACATATATATATTATATATTGTCTGTTTGTTAAAGTTGTACACACACAAATATATATATTTATAGTATTATTAACATATACTTTTGACGCTGATTGAACATGAACCTATTATATATATATATATCTTAGCTTGGATCTCGAACAAATGACAAACAGCAATGAGAGCAAAATCAAAAAATGACAAAAAATCAACTTAAATTAGCAAAAACTAAAAACTTAAATAAAGAAAAACAGTTGGAGCAAATGCCTCGCCCCCGCCCAACACTGCTGTCTGCTGGCACGCCCCCCCATGTTCAATGCGTTGTGCCCCAGGCGCGCAGCAATGTCAACGCCTTGTTCAGATAAGCCGACCACTCCTCACGCTCCTCCTTGGTGTCGGCCGAGAGCAAATACCGCACCGTTGTCGTCCGTCCATTGGGCACTATAATCAGCGACTCCTGATCGGTATCCAGAGCAGGACGCTCGCACTCGAGCAGCATCGTATTCAAGCGCGCACAGATGTCACGCGGCGCTGTGCACACTTTCTGTGAGCTGCACGTATTCAAATCAATGCTGCCCATCGGGGCCTTCTTCTTCTCATCATCGGGATACTTCCAGTAGCTGAGCAGGGCGCCATTTAGATAGCACCAGCGACGATGCCAGGCACCAAAGCCAGAGATGTCCTCGAACATGGTTAGGAAACCCTTGTACTCCACGCTCACAGACAGCTCACAGTTGACCTTCATGTGCACGGTGCCGTCGAGCGGACTCACGCCCAGCACTTGTGTCAACGTCCAGCTGGTGCGTTGAATCTCACGCAGCGAGAAGATGGCGAAACCATATTGCACCAGCTGTGGCGTACGCACCACATGGGGACCGGCTGGACTCTGAACGGGGGGCATAACCAACCGATTTTCGCCGCCCTTCTTCTTGGGCGTCTTAATGCCGCCCTTCTTATTCACATTGATGTGGTATTTGAGCTCGTGCGGCAGCTGATCCCGCTGTGCCAGCATACCATAAATCTCTAGAGTAATCTGTCGAGGAAAAACCATTAAAATATTGTTTTCGACGGAAATTAATTAATCATCGGCTTACTCTAAAGTCCGCATAGACGTTGTTTAGTTGCAGCACATCGGGAAATTTGACAGAGAGCAGACCCGGCATCGTGGGCACCGTTTTGGTGGCCAGCACGTGCTCATTGTACTTGAGCAGGCAGACCAAATGATGCCCATTGATGCTGCCTGTTGCCATTTTACGCACATATTCCTGGCGCAACGGTATGGTGATGTCCTTGACCGTAAGCAGGCCCTTCTCCTTGGGCGCACCCACGGGCCGTATGCTGTTCTCCACGCGCAGACGCTGCACCTCATCCAAGCAGGCCTGACGGCGATGAGCTACAAGGAATATTGCATTAATATTTAATATATCTAACCATCTCATATATCAATCAAAACGTACTTGCTAGCAGTAGATAACGTTCACCCTCCACGGATTCGGTGGAGCCCGAAAATTCCACAGTGGCTGCACACAGATTGAGCGCCTGGCTGGCCTGTCCAATCACCTGCTGCTGCTTGCACACCTCGCTCAGCAGCTTCTTAATCTTCTCCTGCGCCAAAGCCGCATCATTTGATTCGCGTGCGCTTTGCACCTCCTCGTCGTCCTCACTGCTGGCAGCCGGCTCCACGTGCTGCGGCGAATCATACTCCAGCTTGTGCTTGGCATGGCAATCGTTGCCCAAAGCGGAGCGCACAATCTGCTGCTCCCGGCAAATCTTACGCACTGGCGTCGAATTGGAGCTCTATAAATAATTGAGAAGTACATATATAAATATAAGAGTTATATAATCAAATATGATTAATGTATAGCTTACACTGGCGTTCTGCTGGCGACGATAGAAGCTAACGGTGTGCACGAGCGTAACCAAATTATCATTATCCTGATTGACGCTCAACTCCGATTTGACAGGTTGGGCGCCATTAAGCAAAGGCGTTTGCACATCCATTGCCTCTTGATGCTCTTCAATGGTCTGGCACGGAGCAGCACTAGACGGCTTGCGATAGGAGAAGCTGTTGGAGGCAGTGGTGCCTTTGCTCTGTGTGATAAGAGAGTCCAAATTAGAAACATGTTAAGAATAGATTGATGTAAAGGCTACTCACGCCCAGCGATAGCTGACTGGCATTATGCTCATCCTCGGTGTCATCCTCCTGCGTGCTGCCATAGTCACCCACTAGGGCTTCATCCAAATAGTCATCAATTCCCGTAGAGACTTGTGAGGAGTTCATTGAGCTGTCGCCATCATTGCTATAATAATGATCCTGTTCGGCATAGCGTACCTGTGGAGAAAGGAAAAGGTTAAGGTTAGAGACCACCCGCTGTGTCTGGTTTATGCTACCTGCGACTCACCTTTTTGCCTTGTTGTTGCTGCTGTTGCTGTTCATTGCGCTGCACCGTGTGCAAGATCTCGCGACCTAGGCTGCCGTTGCACATGCCCGCACTGCTGTCCTCAGTCTGTGACTGATCCGCCTCCTCCTCTTTCTCCGCCACATCCACATCGGACTCATCCATGCAACTACAAATTAAAAGAGATTAGTTTAAGCAGCTATACAAACATTTATTATGCGCCTTGTCTCTAGCCGTTAAAACTAAGTAACTAATAGTCAGTCTCATCTAATCTCTGGCTGCCTACTCAATGCAGAGCAGAAAGAGCAGGCAGGAATAGCATTTATCAGCGCACCTTTCAAGCTCCTCCTCGGTGTCGTCGTTTATCGAGGCCGTGGCCGTGGCACAGCAATTGTCGCCACTGGAATCTAGATCGGATAGCGCCGGATACAATCGATCACCCGTATGGGATTTTTTGGCACGTTTCGACTCCTCGTCAATAACATCACCAGCTACAAAGACAGAGGGAGAGAGAGAGAGACACTAGCTTTAGAGACTTTATATGGATTGGGTTTGCATGGCAGCTGCTTACGTGAGCGTCGCTTGCTGCTGGCCGTGGCCATCGGCGGCGGTGGTGGCGGCGGCATGGGGCGCACCACTTTGCTGCTGACAGGTGGCGCAGGCGGTGGAGCGACTGGAGCAGCTACTGTTGTTAACAGTTCCTTTTGCTTATTAAAGCGATTGGCTATGATTTGCATATCCTCCTGTCGCTGTCTGTCAATGTCTTTGATGCGATTCTCAGCGCTGCTCTGAGCAGAGGCCACTAAGGCAGCCACCTTGTCGCGCAACTTGCTCTCAGGCTTCGGCTGTGGCTTGCTGGCTTGACTCTGTTGGCTGGCCACGCTAACAGGATGTGCTGCAAGGACAAATGCGGTTAGATGAATGGCTCCGCAGACATCAGACAATTAGCAGCACTTACCCTTGGGTTGCTCCTCCTCCACTACCACTGCTCGTAACTGGCTAATGCTGGGCGCCGTTCCAATTGGCGCCTTGGGCAGCATGGCCTTGGCATTGCCTGTCTCGAAGAGTTTCATGCGCTCCTTCAGCGACAGCTCACACGGATCCTTTTGATTGCGCTGCGCTGCTTGCGTTTGGCCATTGGTTGCTTTGCTCTCAAAGATGGCCGCACGGCCAGAGACGAGGCCAGCTTTCACTTGGGCAGCGGGCGCAGGCACTGATTTGGGAGCAGGAGCGGGCGCACTGGCTGCGGCGCTAAATGTTTTCGCCACCTGACTGACGGCAGTTGATTTCTCTGGCAAAGGTGGCTTTGCAGTGGTTGTGGCTGTGGCTGTAACTGTTTCCGTTGCTGTTGCATTTGTTGGTGCTGTGGATTCCTCCTGTTTGGCATAATCGTAGGTGTGCTTAACCGTAGAAGATTCGCGTCGCTGGAAACCTTGCGCCTCCAATGAGCTCAATACCTTGGGGTCCCATTTCAATTGCTTTGTCTTGCCGCTTGATGCATCTACGGCATCTGCTCTGGCCGGACGACTGGGTAAATCTGGCTTGGGCGGCGGCACTGCATCCAGCAGCGGTCGATGCACATCGTGATGTGCCGTGTCATCCTCCCACTGGTTAATAGTGTCCGCCAAAGCGGCCAGCTTGCCCAGACGCTGCTTGCCACGCCGCGGACTACGAGACACTCGATCCACACTGTCCTCATCGTCGGCATGGAATTGCGCCTCGGTGCGATGTATGGGCGAGGACAGGTCATCCGTGTTGGAGTAGAGGGCGCCCATACGCTGCAGTCGACTGCGCGATGTGTCTCGCAGACGAGCCAGAGGCTGATTAATAGGCGCCTCCAAATCACCACCAGCAGCACTGGCTGTACTTGGAAGTAGGGCTGCAGTCTGCTGCTGCTCCTGCTCCTCATCCTCGTCGCTGCTCATATCCTGCTCTTGTATTTCCACTTGCACCTAAACGTAGCGACAGCGCGCGTAAAAATACAAAAACAAACACATACGCACGCAGACAGAGCGAGAGCGACAAAGAGAGAGGGAGAGAAAGAGAGAGTTGTAGCAAAATGCCAAGACAAAGACAAAGCGCAAAAACATCCACCGTACGAAAGCGTAAGGCAAAATGCATGTGGAAAAAAATAAAAACGGCTGAGAAAAAACTTACCCCAATTGGCTGGGCGCTGGTAATGTTTATCTCGATGCCCATTTCCAAATTCTCCTTGTTCACCGCTGCATAGTGACGCAGCGGCTTGGTGGGCGACGCCGAAAGCGTTGCCTTGTCGAGGACAACAACTTTGCCAGCTGCGCTACTAGAGGCACTGCTTTCAGTTGGCGCTGATGCCGATGCGGATGTCGATGTCGATGATGACGTTGTCTTAGTTGTTGCTGCTGGCGTCGCTTCGCTTGTCAGAGTGCATTCAGCTAATGGAAATTTGCTTGCATTTGTTATGCCGAGTGCGCGACTGCGCTGTTCGGCCTTTTCGAGCATGCGCTGCAATTATGAAATTCACATAGAATGCAGTTAGAATACAATCATTTTCATTGTTTGCTTTGTTGCGTTGTACCTGGGTAAAGGGATCCATTGTTGTTGTTGTTGCGAAAGCAAAATTCTAATTACTTCGATCACTTATCTTTAATTTATTCTCTTGCACTAGCACTTGTATTTAATTATTTATTTATTGCTAGTTAGTCGCGAACACTGTATTTTTACTTTTAAAACGAATTATCTTAGTATCTTTTCATGGATGCACGTCATTCGAAATTTATGCGCGTCGCTTCTGTTTTTTCGCTCGTTCGCGACGTTGGGATTTTAAATGGACAAGCGTCGGTATGGCAGAGTTATCGTTAGGGTGGCCACAGTATCGAACAACAGTACCGATCGATCAGCGTCTGTTAACGTGCAGCTGCTTAACATCGCGCTGATTTGATGTTAGGGGTGTTGCAATTGCTTCAGCAATTGTTTCTGTACAGTTTTGTAATTTCTGGCATTTTTATCTAAGCAGCTTTATGGTTTTTTAAAAAGAATCATTTAGTAAATAGAAACATCAGTATCGAGGTAAGAAATAGGTGAAAATCACAAATCACTTCGCGCTTTTGAATTTAACAGCTACGAACAACATACAGCAATAAATGCACAATTGAAACTTTTAAATTTAACAGTCTCTTACATTTACATTTACAGCAATGCATATTTAACATAACATGTTCTGTTGTCGTCGATAAGTTTTATGAGTGGCAACTCCATGCGATGTTTTTAAGTGGCAGCACCATAACAAAACGCGAGTTGCTGATGGGCATTTAAAAGTTGATAAAGATAATTAAATTAATACCTAGACCAATTGGATAAATAAACATATGCAGTTAATTATATAATATTGGCGCAAAGGTAGGTAAGGTGCGAATTGTTTGTAGCCTATGTGCTATTCAAGAGTAGTTTAGACAGTTGTGCAACGTGCGTTTCTGTCAGTGCTGCTAGTTTTGGCTATAAAAATGCTAAATGACTGCCTTTTCAGGAATGACCGAGAGAACGGTAAACCACCTGTGGAACTGTGCCAAAGAGCTGAGCGTAGAAACACACACCGAACGCTTACTCAAATCATACTATATGTAAGGCAGATGATTTAATAGTAATGATTATAATTGTAAGCCTCTGTTTCCACAGCAATACAAGCCGCAAGTTAGCTCGCCACAATGTCCAGTTGCCAGAGGAGAACATTGGACCGGCCCGCATGTGCGCCCGTTGCGGCAACCAGTGGAGCGATGGCCAGTACAAATTGCATCTGCAACCCCAGCGTTTGGCCAGCAATGCCAAGCGACGCAGGTTGATTGCCCAGCTGGAGGCGGTCAAGGCCAAGCAGCAGCGTGGAGGCCTCAGCACTGGGGCCAGAAAACGAGCCAAATGGCTAAAGAAGCGCATGGCCAGCAACATGGTTAGCAGCATAAATCCATTATCCTAATGCCAACTTATCATAAATCACCTTTGCAGGCAGTGCAATGCGAGCTTTGCCAACATAAAACAATGTTGCCGCTGGAAAAGCCTAAGAAACGCGCCAAAGCTAAGACAATGCAAGCAGCAGCAGCAGCAGCAACTACAACAACAACAGCGAGGAGCAAAAAACATAAAAATAAAGACATCAATGCGGGGCTAAAGCTAAAGATGCCAATACCACAAAAACAAACAAAAGCGCCAACAACAGCAACTGTAGCAAAGCAGTCAACAACAACAACAACAACAACAGTGAATTCTCAAAGCAACAAACAAAAGAACAAAAAGAAGAAGAAGCAACAACAGCAGCAAACGAAAACAACGCCAACGCCCGTGCAAAAAGTGCAATCGAAGACACAAAAACAAAACGCGCTGTTGCAGTTGGCAGCGCAGCTTAAAACGCACGCGTCACAAAACGCCAGTAGAACGCAACAAAATCGCCTACAAGCGTTTCTTAAGTAAAACTTTTGTCTTAAGTAGAAGAAATTGTTTATTTTGAATGACTAGGGTTGTTCATTAAGTCTAAGTTAAAATACGTGTAGTTGACGAAAGCAAAAACAACAAAACAACGTTTCAAAGCAGAGCGTAGCGCGTTTAAAAACGCTGCAAAACCGCATGCAAACGTTTGTCAAACAGAAAAAACTACACCTAACTTACAGGCATTCAGGTAATTTGTATGAGCTGATAATTAGCAACAATGAACAAACACGTTTTTTAAAAAATTCGCTTCGCTGCTGGCAGCGCAACTAAACTCGCACGCGTTTGAAACCGCCAAAAAAACGCATCAGAAACGCTTGGTCTTGTTTCCCCAAGTAAAAACGTCGCATAAAGTAAAAAATCTGGTTGTTTTTGAATGAGAAGACTTGTAATTAAGCATTAGCAAAATACGTGTATGGAACAAGAGCGAGCATTGTGGCATGAATCAGTGGCACTGATTGTTGCAACCGGCTTGGAGCTGGCCGTTTCGCTTCTGCTGTATATATCTGGGAACCTGTCCGTTTCGGCCCTGCACGCACACACGTAGTCACGCACTTGGCTATCGAGTGGCGGCCCAGTCCAAGGTTATCCAATTCTTTTAATTTATTTCAAGCAACATTTAATTAAAAATTGAGTTGTTTACCTGTGCAGCACGTCCTTCAGGGCTGCAGCAGATGTATCTCTATCTTTAGCTGGCCGCTTATCTGCAACACACGCACACAGGCACACACATCCTGGAGCTGGGCTTTTAAGTCAGGCTCCGATTTCTAACAACATCTGCCACTTCTCATTCTTTTTTATTGACTTCTTTTTTTGGCTGGCAATTTCTTAGAAGATTTCTGGTTTGTGTGCTGTTGTTTTAGTCGGTTTCTTATGGGTTGGCGAGCCTGTTTGCTTGGCCGAAATTGGCCAAGACGGCAACGTCGATTCTCAAATGGCCAAAAACGCTTGCATTTAAATTTACATTTTCTGTTTTATGCAACAAAACTCACTTTGTCGTTTCCCCCAAAAATAAAGACAAAACAGCCTACCGCAACTGGTAGTAGTCGACCTGGCGATACCCTGTTGGCTATTACACTTTAATATGTTAATGTTGTTAACTCAGCACTCAACTACAGCGACATTACCATTTACATACATAATGTCTTTCGGCTGTCGATCAGCTCATCAGCTGTCTCCCTGCCCCTCTGACATACACTTGCACTGGCATATAAGGCCATCCGTTCACTTCCCTTTGCACTGCCGGCTGAGTATTCAAACTCTGCGTTCTACAAAGAAAGTGAGCAACAACAAGAACAACTACAGCTCCAAGAGCAACAGGCATCGGCTTCGTGTGTGCCTGTTTGGATGTTCGTGCGTGCGGCTTCGGCTTGTTCTTCGGCAGCGGCTTCGGCTCTCCCACGAACATGTGGTGGGGAGGCAAACAGAGCGCTTGGCTGCGCTGCTGTTGCTTTTCAGTCAGTTGCGTTCGTGTGATTCACGGCCGCGCACACAGAGTCGCGCTTTAAAATTCGCATGGTGCGGTCGCGCCATCTCGCTCGCTCGCACATAAATGTATTCGCAATGAAAAGCGACTGCGTCTGCGTTCGCATTGGTTCTACGGAGAGCGCTGTTACAGAAAAGCAGTTGTTGTTAAGCTTAAGCAGAAAAGGTGTCAACGCCGGCGTCGACGCTAACGTCAACGTCAACGTCAACGCAAAGAGCAAGAGCAAAGTGTATGGGTAAAAACAAAGGCGCAGTGTGACAAAGAATCAAGTGAAAAACCGGATGCAAAATTAACAAGCATAAATCATAAAATACAAAATGAAAGGAGGGAGAGAAATAACAAATCGAATACCAAAGTTGATTTTCAATTTGAATTTGAAGACGGCAGCGCAGGAAATGCAGTTTGCATTTTGATAAATGACCGGAAATGCAGACAGACAGGCAGCAGCGCAGCGCAGCGACTGCGGCGCAGCAGACACGCCTGCGCTGTGGCTATATAAACTAAACAATACGAAATGCCAGAGCCTGAAATCAAATATTTACATTGAAAAATAACTTGAGCAGAACCAGAACTAGAACCAGAAGAGAAATTACAGTAAACAGAAATTCGATATGTTCGACTGCAAGTGTTAATTAGCAATAGAAATTGTTTATCGCTCAGTGCAGAAAAGAAAAGATATCAAATAAAGCAAATCGAATAACATTTGCCAAACTAATTTTTTTTATGTGCCATAAAAAGAAAGAGAGACAGAGAAAAAAGTAAAAGTTCTAACGGAGAAATGTTTATACATATGTTCCATACTTCTTTCTCATATGCCTATATATCTCTCTCTTTTTTATGGCCAACGACACGCGTTGCCTTATTTTTTTTACGGATGAGTCACAATTAAAAAGGTTGGGCCAGAGACCAGCCTCAGCTTAGCCACATAAAACATTTGCCAAGTAGCAGCAGTTACTAGACCCCCACAAGACTCGCTCCCGCTGCCCCTCTCCCTCTCCCTCTCTCTCTGTCCCACCGATTAGCTCTCTAGCAATCTCTCTGTGTACACAATCTATTCCTACTTTTAACCACAAAAGGCGACACAAACAAGCAAGCAAATAAACCACAGAACAGACGCTCAGACGACAGACATGTCTGTATAACCTAGAGGCAGACACACACACAAAGACACACCCGAACCCCTACGATTATGCCTCCACCCCCTCAGCCCTTTGCCCAGGTGCTAAGCGGCGCTGCATAAACTAAGTATCGCATTATGAAAATGAAAATCAGCCCAAAGCCATTTCGTAATAACATTTAATGACACATATGTATAAACACAGACACACACACACAGTTATAGGTTGACTGCAGTCATAGAGCGTACCAAAAATATACATACATACATATATATTCCTATACATATGCAATATATACAATTCGTATAGAGCTAATGATGAACAAAAAAAAAAACATAACGTCATCAACGCCGCGTTGATTTTCCACAGGCGCCAAGCGAAGCGTGCAACCAAATAAAAGCAACAAAACCCCGAAAAACAAAACAGACAATGAAAATTCAAATAAAAACAATATATAATATTTTGGAATGCAACGAAACGATCTATAATACAATAGATTCTAGACTAAGCAAACTAGAACTAGAAATAGTGTAAAAACTTAAAATTAATGTATCCAGAACTGAGCTCATGCCTACAACTTATTATATCAAATATCTGATTATTTATAGACAGCTTAAAGACTAAAAACCTAAGAAATGTAGAAAATCTTAAAGATAATAAATTATATCGTTACAAAATGCACATCTAGAAAATATATATGTATTTATAAACATATACATAGACACGATTCTATTCCCCACTTATCAGATGGAATATTACAGTTATCAATATGAGCCACAATTCCACAATCTGATTCTTTGTTTAAACGGAAGTATATTTACCTAGCATAAGTTGATCAAAGTCAATGAACCCCAATACAGATACCCATTACAAAAGTTCTTGTTTAAAAGTCAACGAGCATAGGCTACAGCAGACACCAAATATGGCGAACAGCTGGCATTGTCTTGCAAATGAATCCTAAATTTTGATAGGCAGCCAGGCAGGCAGGTAGAGGTAGAGGCAGTCAGTCACTGCCTATAAGTGTGGCCACATTTAATGCAGGGTATCACTTGAAGCTAGCATTGAGCAGAGAAACTGATTATTCTAGATCTCGTTAAACAGATCTCTCTGAACTGATCTATTTATAAACTCTGAACGGACCATAGCATGGATTGATTTCTGTTCTCTCTGTGGGAGACAGAATTGCTTGTAACTTCATTTATTTATTTCTGCTCACTCATTTCGAAATGAGTTTATTTTTTTCGGTATTCTCTCGAGAAATGCGCTGAGCAAGTGAAATTGTTAATAGTATTTATTTTTTAATATTTACTGCAATTTTTATAGAGAGTGCTTCTCGTTGCATGTGATTTACGAAGAACTGTGAGCTACTTTATTTTCACAGACAACTGTTAATTGCTAACAAAAACAGCAACAAACACAACAACAACAACATCAACAATAAATATAAATAAAACCTATACAAATCCAAAATCAAACGATCTACAAAAAGCCATATAAACAAACATTAACACTGAACGCTTTGAATTAACGCGTTTTATGATTAATCATGGATATCGACTCAAAAGCCCCAAAACGCATTGAAATTCTACAATTTTTACTGGGTAAGTCTAAACAGAATAGTTAATAGTTATTGAAATGTGCATATTAACTAGCTATATAGCATGTATGTATATGTATGTGTATGCTAAGTGTAAGTGAGGGAATGAGAGATTCGGTTATGCCTTGAAGTTTGAGTATTGAGTATTAAGTGTTAAAGCTGTTATTATTTACAAAAATTACAGTATTTGTTTATAATATAAATTAGGTATAGACCTTATTAGAACGTACCTAGCTCGAAACACCCTTGCGTATAATAGAAATATAATAATATATTACAAATAAATATAATGAGTAGAATACATTAAACAAATAAATATTGAGTTTAATTTTTTTTAATATATAAATTAATATATAAAATATAAAAGAATAATAGACTTATTTTAAATGCGTAGAACATTCCCTATATTATTTAATAATTATTGCTGTAGAGTTTTGACAAATGGTTTCTCACTTTATTTTTCTGGCTGTCTTTCTTTCTCTCTCTCTCTCTCTCTCTCTCTCTCTCTCTCATCTCTCTCCCCCACACTAGCTTCTGGTTTCTGTATTTTTTGGCCATCTTTAACTCCCTCTCTCTTTCCCTCTTTCCATCATGCCTAACCCATCGACCCTAACGAATCTCTCCAATAGACTCAATCTCCAAATCCTCTTCATCTCCATCTTCTTCTTCAACTACATTTACACTAAATGCCCTGGCAGATGTCGCTCTTGAGCGTTTATTTAAACCACTTTTAGCACAGTTTTCTAAGTACAGGGTATTAAAACAACATTATTAAACAATTATGTGTGCAGCTAAACGGAATATTAAAGTAGTTACGCATTAACCGCATATTTATCTAGATAATTTAGACGGCATTGTTAATTAAGTTCACGTCAGAAGAACAGCAGCAACAACAACAAGAAAACAAACTTGAGAGTCCAAACTACTTGTAGAAATGTTCATGAGCCTCGAATCGCCCTGCGGCCATATAATTTTCTTGTACAGCGAAACATTAATAACCCTCAGATACAATATGGTATATATATATTGACTCATGCCATGGACCGTCTACGATCTGGAGCTGAGAAGAACAAGAGAAGAGAGATAAATGCTGAGGCTGGGCCAAAGTCTTTGGCTCTTAACTTGACTGCGAGCTTAATGCGCTTTGTTCTTTTCATGCTTCAACTTTTATATATTGTACAAATTTTATTAAAACTCATTTTCGGCGTGTTTTTGGCCACTCTTTCGCTGGTTCTTTTGGGCATACATATATATAAAATATATATATATATATATATATATATATGTATATATGTATGTAGCTTTTGCTCAAAGCCCTTCTCTTAACGCGTCGGCAGTTAAGTCTGCAAGCATTAATGTTCGTCGGACAGGGTATAACGATTCTGTGGGGCAACATGTCGCAGTCTTATATAAATGTCATCATTTTCTTTTCAAAAATTTCTTTTGTAAGTTTAACATTTTATTTGGTAACTAAGTCGGCCTTTGGTGCTGTTGAAAATTAAATAAAACTAAATTCTAAATTTTAGTGAAAACTTTGTTTTAACTTCAAATGAAATTTAACTTGGGCAAAATATGGAAAAGTAACCACAAAAATAATTAGTTATTTATCTGAATTGTGAAAGTGTATTTGGCATTCGTTGTAGTTGTTGTTGCTGTTGTTATTTTACTTAAGTTATTTCATACTAATTACGTTTGTCTGGGCCATTTCTTTGCGTGTTTTTCAATTTTAACAAGATTTCGGACAATTTTTGTTTTGTTTTCGTTGCAGTTGTAATTGTAGTCGTTGTTGTTGTCAATGTTTACCGTTAAACCTACTTAAGCAGCATAAGAAGTTAGCCACTAGGGAAACTGGATTGTTTTGTTTTTATTATTTTCTCTGTTTTAATTTCTTATTTTATTGTTTCTGTTTTCTCTGCCGCCCAGTGAAATTGCTTTTAATTGCTTGCGGTCAATTCGCAGTTGACTCTATGAGGTCATAGGCATATGTACACTACTATAAGCTCATATCTGATATGCTATATATACATATATATACATACATAGGTATGACTCACTCGAGTTGCTTAACCCCTCGCTGAGCATTCGAGGCAATTGAATGCCATTTAGTTCAATGGAGCGTATTAAATTGAATGCGTTCGCCTTATTTAGCTTTAAGTTAACATTAGGCCATTTCTAGATGCTGCTCTTGCAGAACTTCTACCTCTTCGTCTTCATTCTCTATTTCTTCTTGCAGATGTGCGTGCTCACTTTCGTGCCTCGCTAGCGACATCAGAGTATGAGAATACTTCGAATCTGTTTCATGTGATGGCCGCGGAGCAGACGCAGGAGCTGCTGCAGCGCTGTGACCAGCTGCTGGCCAGCTATGCAGACGATCAGGCGGCAGCAACAACAACAACAGCAGCAACAGCAGCAACAACAACAGCAGCAAGAGATGCCACAGCAACGGCAGCATCCATTAAATCGAATGGCTGCAGCGAAGTGGGCGCCGAGACCGGTTGCTATCTGGATATGATGTCCTCAACATCAACATCAACGGCAGCCCCAGCAGCGGCATTTGCAACGCCAATTGCAGCCTCAAAGACTTCGCGTGAGTGCCAAAGCAGAGTTAGATAGCTATAGAGCCTACAGTCTATGGTAGTTATCTATTAGCCAGCATGCGAGTAATTGACTTTAATTGCAGTGTCCGCCTCGAGGGAGTACATCGATCTGAGCAGCAGTCAATCGTTGAACAGTGATAAAACCTTTCGTTGCTCGAGCAATCAGCATTTGGAATTGGAGCAGCATTCCCAGCATTCACAGCACTCACAGCAGCAGCAACAGCAGCAGCAGGAGCAGCAGCAACAGGACCAGCAGATATATGACATTTGCCAAAATCCTGGAGAAGAGGAAACTCAGCAGGTTTTCGCGCACGAACTGTTCATCAATTGCCCCTACGCTGATCTGCCCGCTGGGCACCTGGCCTTGCATCGCTCCATCAAATTTGGCCAGTTGCAGCGCATCGAGAAACGCCTGTTCTTCGATCAGACCAAGAAATACTACTGTGGCATCCTGAATGATTGGATGCTGTGCTATGCGGATGGTCCAACGTCTTGTCGGCCGAGCAGCAGCCTCTATCTGAAGAGCTCGGCCATTGAGATTGAGCATTTCGGAGAGGGTAAACGTCGTGAGGTTTGCTTTCAAATCACCACCGCTGATCCGAGCAAGAAGTTCGTCTATCAGGCGAACAACGAGGTCGATGCCAAAGAGTGGATACACGCCATTGAGGCGGCCATACGGGGCGAGGCCGTTGCACAGGCAACGCTCAAGTCCTTACGGAAACTGCCCACGCCGCCGGTCATGAAGCGACTCAGCTTTACGACCTCGGCCTCGGCAACGACAGCGGCCACCAACAGCGACAGCATCTATGAGGAGCCGTCGCCCATATATAACTTTGGGGAGGCGCTGACACCGCCCCGCCTGCCCGAAAAGTGCAACAGTCCGAGTGCATTGGCCAAACGTTTCGAATACGACATACCAAAGTGCCCGCCCCAGCCGCTGGTCATGGACGAGGAGCCAGCTGGCGGTGAGGTGGAAACAGCTGAGCTGCTCAATGGCGGTGCTATTGCAAGTGGCAGTGGTGGTGCTGGTGCTGCTGTCGAGCTCAAGGCGCAGCCACAGCCATCCAGTCTGCACGGCAGCTTGGCGCTAGATTTCCAGGCCAAGGTCAAGACGGTGCACAGCGAGCTCTCTAGTCAGCTGACGAGTCCGGAGCGCTTGAAGAAGGCTGTCAAGAAGAGCTATTCGTGCGGTAACCCCAACAGCGAGCCGGAACTGCTCTCCCTAACAGGCGGCAGCTGCAGTCCGGCCACACTCAAGGACCAAAAGAAGCAGCGCAAGGCAACACAGACGGCGCAGACGAGTCCGCAGAAGACGCCCGGCAAGGATTGCGACAAGCTGGCACGCAACTGGTTTCTCAGTCGCCTCAACAAGACCAGCTCGACTCCGAATTCCCGCTCAACGGGCGGTGGAACGAGCAGCCCCACCAGCATACCGGCCAACGCCAAGTGCAAGCAGAGCGAAAAGGAGAATCTGCTCAATGGATTGGATATGTGCGATGGCAGCTACGATGGAGCGCCCAACGAGCTGCAACAGTATCAACAGCAGCAGCAGCATCAGCAGCACCCGCAGAGCAGCAATCCAACATCGCCCTGCTTGAAAGCAGAGGCCAAGAGCAAGGTGAACATGATCATCAATCAGTTCGAGAGCAGCGGCCATCTGTCGACCATGTTCAGCGTGGAGGCATTGGCGGCCAATGCGCTGGCCTCCCTGACGTCCTTCTGCGAGAGCGACAACTGCAACAACTATGAGCCAATAATGCCGCTGGCTACGCCGCCCAGCAGCTATCTCAAAAAAGTGTAGGACATCGCATCCTGGACCATCATTATCATTGATATAGAAATATATAAATATAGCACAGATTTATAAAGAGTTAGGCTAGCGATAAAACACATACTTTTCATGTTTATCCTTTCTCATTGACATAAAATTTTAATATCAAAACATAAATTGGATTTATACATTGGTATATGTATATATTTATATTAGAGGGGGTATTTATGCATATAAGTGTGAGTGTGTGTGAGAGTGCGTGTGAGAGTGTGCAGAATAGCTTGCAATAGCGCGAGGTAGTTAATGCTATGTCGTTGAAGCAGTCCCGCTTTACTATATAATACGCGTCGAATAGCGTGAGGTGGGCATACGCAGCTGAGTGCCGGCACGCATTTGAGATTCAACTACAGCTAGCAGAGCTTCGCGTCTCCGTTCGTCGGGCACCAGTACGATTTTGGTGTTCGATTCCTTCGGTGAGAAGAGACCCATTATACCCTTGCTTTCGCGGCTAATCACCTTGAACTGCATGCCGCGGCCATTGTTCAAAAAACTGTCCACTTCTTCCCACTGATACGACCACAAGGACTGAGCAATAGGAGAGAGAGAGAGAGAAGCATAAATATTAAACACATATATATGGAAATAGATCTCGCTTCACTCACATTCCAGACGCCAAACATATCATTGCGCTGCGCATAGATCATACGATGATTGGTAATTATTAGGTACTCGGATCGGCGCACAATCTCCTCGCAGTGCACAAAATTGTCCGTTTCCGCATATTTGCCCTTGTCCACCTCCCTGCCAAAGCAACAAATACGATTAGTATACGACATATGCATGAAAATATTGTTGTGAATCCTACTTTAGTATCTTGTTGCCTAGAGCTTCGCTGTAGCAATAGGGACGCAGCACATAGTCGTAATGTAGGAAGCGTGTCGGTCGCAAGCGTCTGGCATCCTCAATGCCCACGGTGGCGCGTTTGACTGCCTCAAAGCTGCCGCTGGCAAAGTCCACAACACCAGCCGTTGGGCGTGCCACCAGGCCGATGGCGCCCTTGCCCAGGCCCTTGAAGAAGCCCTCCACGCCCTCGTCGCGTGCGCCAGCAACGGGCTTAGTAACCACACCCGTCACGCCATCATAAAAGCCCTGCGAGTGAGTGGAAAAGGTAAGTTCAGCTTAGTTTAGTTCTAATGTTGCAAACGCTGTGCCGGCTGAGCTCTCACCATGACCAGACCCTTGCCGCTGCGTGCGAGACCCTCGTGGAAATTCTTTGGTTTATTGTGCATGCCCCTTCGACGTTTCTTTTGGTATTTGTCATCAAAGGTCAAGGCAGCTAGACCTTTGCCCATGGCGCCAGTGATTCTAGCGGAAGAGAGTTGAATTAATGAACTTCTGCTGGCCACATGACACCATAAGTAAGAACTTACTTGGACATGGCTCCAGCAGCACCGCCCACGGTGTGACCAAAAAGCGACTTGACGCCCAGCACAAGACCCTCAGCAAATTCGCCGGGTCCTTGGATGGCGCCCTGCGAACATGATTGGGTTGCTTAAAATAGTCAAGGCTTAACATTAAGTTAGCATTTAGCTCACCTGGAACGGTTCGTAGAACAAGTCCTCGACGCCTTTCTTAAGACCCACAACCAAACCGTATGGATTCCCCAGTACATCCAAGCCCAAAGCCAAGACATAGAGCTGCTTCAGTGCCTGGCCCTTATAGTGGGACGTCACGTCGCTGATGAGCTGATGTTGGGTAAAGAACTGGAATTCACGCTCGAAGAAGGCCAGTCGGAAGACGACATCGTTGACATCCGTCAGGGTAACGCCCACACCTTGGACCAATGTACCGAGAAAGCCGGGCAGTGAGATTGCATCGGCGCCAGCCATGGAGAAGCTAACATGTATTTTCAGCGGACCCAAATGCAGGTTATCGTAGTAATTCTTCTGCTCCTGTTGCGAGTGCTCTTCGAAGAACGTGGACAATGGCAGCTCAATGGAATCGACATCGCTGCGGAACAGCTTGGCCGCTTGCTCATCGGTCACTTCAGTCGAGAACATCTCCGCAATGGCCGTTAGAAAGACAATATCCACCTTAAAGTGGAACTCCTGGATCAAGATGGATGCATACTTGTACTGTTTCACATCCGAATTGGGTATCACGCGCTGCACTATGCTGCATTCGATGAACGGCTTCATCGATGTGGTTGTGGCCACGCTCTTTGGCGGAGCGATCGGTGCCAGCACCACATTGAATATGGGATCAACTAGCTGATTGTCCACCTGTATGCGATTGATTTTCACATGCAATTGATTCTGGAACGGAGACGACTTGAGCGACACCCAAATAGCTGGATAAAAGTTGCGACGCAAACGCCGTGCAATGTGTTTCGTGATCGTCATCGTGTTGAAGTCCAACTGCAAATTGTTTAGAGTGTGTATAAATAAATGTCAGTATATGTATGGAGTTATCCGATTGCTATACGCACCGGGAATTTGTTATTCAGCAGATATGTCTTGACCTCCTTGACGGACTTGTGCACCAGATAGCGCTGATACTCGGCCTCGATCAGCTCTGAGTCGTGTATGGTCATCTCCTTGAAACGTTTCTTATTCGGCTTTCGTGACTCCCACACTATGCCCGAACTGGTAATGCCCAAATAGAGTATATCCAGGGCAGCCTCATTGTTCACCACCGAGATGCCGATGCCATGTATATGCAAATCAATGCTACGCGTTATGGTCTGCAGTGCTGCGGTGCTCTCCGTTCGCTTGGCGACCGCTTCAACTTCGGTGACCAACAGGACACGCTGCATGCCATAGAGGAAGGACACCCAGTAAGCTTTGCTGTCGTTCTGCAGACTATAAGAAACAATTACCAAAACATGGCACACCTTCGCATTTGCATTTCACTTACGTAACCGTGTCGATCTCGTCGCGTTTCAAATCGGTCTCCTGTTTATCCTTGCCAAATACCAGGATTTTGGGGCCCATCGGATCGTCCCAGGCAAATAGGACACAGTGTTTCGGCTTCAGAGTGTTCATCTTCTCGGTATTCTTCTCATAGTAGATCAGATCCTTGCTGGTGTGGTTGATGATCAGGCCGGGTGCCTCCGACGGCTGGTATTCGGTGAATGTCAAGTAGACGCCGCCCTCTGTGGACTGCACATCCACATTGACGCCGCCATAGGGACTGTTGGGCAGCTTCAGCAGCGTACAGCTCGCCTCGGTGTAATCAAACGCTGGCGTTACCTGTTGACCTACGCGCAGAATCAGCTTACGGTGTGTCTCGCTCTTGGGCCACAGTGGTTTATACTCCAGCTCTTCGACTGCTAGCCAAGGGTCGCCGGGCCGATTCAGCTCTTGCAATTCGATGGTATGGCGGCATTTATTGTGCACTATATAGAACGGTATGAACGTGATCTGTTTGGTCAGCGAATTGTTAGTCAAATGATTGTGCACGCCGATTTGGAATTTCTGATTGTTTGCAGTGCAGGTGACGCCACCAATCGAGCCGGCCACATCCAATGGAATCTTCTCGCTCCACTCCCCACTCTCGATGCGTATCGCTGCCTTCTTCTTGTCGAAGAACATCTTATCGCGGAAGGCTAACAGTATGGGGCCGGAATACTCGGGCGGATGATACAGCATTTCCACTGACGTCAAATCTGATTTGTAGGTGAGCATCTTGCCCGTCTTATTGATCATCCAGTACGGGCTGTACAGGGTGAGTATAATTTTGCCAGATACTTTGGTACAGCTGCAATGGCCCATTTCAAAAGGATTTGTATTTTGTTATTTAAGTATGATGAAATTAAAGACGAATATAATTACCGCACAAACAGATCCATTTCCATTTTAACATCCGAATCGTATGAGGAAAATGTCCACACGGTTACATCATCACTGGGATCGGGAATTTCAGAGGCATGGGACCAGTCCTTCTCCAGATATTGCAAGAGCTATTAAGCAAATGCGCAAAAAATGATAAGCAAATCCCCAGATAATCTAGATTAGACCACTTACACGTATAACTAGCACACTCTTTGCTTCCTTGCCGTTTGCGGTCGTACGAACCGTGGGCAAATGCAGGATATGCCCCGGATTCACTCCCTTTTCGCCAAAATCTAGAAAGTCCTGCTTCTCGTAACGCTCTTCTACGTCAGGTTTATCTGTCGATCCGCGACCAGCAGTGTCGGTATTAGTCTGGCGACCCAAACAGCCAGCCACAGAGACCTTAATGTCAATGGGCAAACAATTTCGCAGAGATAGTGGAGGACGTATATGGACCATATAATGGGCACTTCGAAGTCGATACTTGTTGGTGTTCTCGAAGAATATCTCATGCTTGCGTCGCTGTAAATTCATGTTGAGCGGCTCGAAGGCGTCGATGGGTTCACATTGCACTTGGCTTTCATAGTTCATGTCTGATGGATTTATATACCAGGAGAGGCTCTGAGCGGACGTGTTATAGCCCTTTATTGAAAAGTACAGCTCTTTATCACTAGCATAGATGGCGTGCAGCGGCACATTGAAGACCTCATTGGGTTTCGCGACGCCAACGCGAATGAATCGATTTTCTGTTTCGTGGCGTCGAAGCACCTCAACTGGTCTCGTAAAATGGTTCAAGAGCTACGAGGGAATTACATATATATTATATAAGGAATTGATACATTTTCATTGATGAAGTTACGTACGCTTAAAACGCCGTGTATATTGATTTTGGTGGTGCCATATTCCAGCTTGACCTGGGAGACAATGGCCCACTGCTCGGGCAGAGCGGTGTTTGGAAGCGGAAAGTAGCGCGTGTCGGCTTTACTAACGGGCAGCACAATTTCATCACTTAGATCACCCAGCTGTGGACAAAGAAATCACGCACACATCAGAGGATTACTAGCCGTGAGCATATGATATGTAAATTACCGTCACATAGAGATTATAATCGTCGATTTGGCTTTCGGAGATCGTGCTCATGTCCTTGGTTTGCAAATAGGCTTTGCCGCCAGGCGAAATCGTACAGCTTTTGATGTCTACTGGATCGACAAGCTGATCCTCTGCGCTGTTTATCGCGTGCAGTACTAAAGCGTTGTTTGTAAGCTTGCCACCACGATGCACCTCGTGCAGCGTGAAGACACCGCACTCCAAATTCAGTGTGATGTCAAAGCCCGTATCATTGATGACCA